TTTTATAATGAACTTTAATCTATTATAAAGTTCCAACCAAAGAAAATGCGATTTTTAGTTTCGAAAAATTCACCATTTAATGAGTTCTACACGGATCGAAAAAATGGTACTCTGTCGGTGCAAGGTCAAGGCTATATGGTGGATACATCAACAGTTCCCAGCCATGCGCTCTCAGTTTTTGCTGAGAGGTGAAAGATGTGTGCGATCTAGCATTGACCTGCTGGAATATAACACCTTTGCGATTGACCAATTCTGGCCGCTTCTCTTTGATGGATGTATTCAATTTGCCCAGTTGTACACAGAAGCCATGTGAATTATTTCTTTGACTCCTTGGTTAGTGGTGCTTCATCATGCTTGGAGCATGATCGTTTTCGATTGACGTTATCATAAACAATCATTTCCAGTTAGAATTTGCTTCAAAAGCAGATCATATTCGTTGCATTTAAGATGCACAAGCGTTGAAGCGGTGTTTTTGAAACAATTCATGTGGTACACATACATATATATGTTTGTCTTCCAGATATCGCTTATGATTATAAAAGGTGGAATTTGGTATTTTTATCTGCTCTCTAATTTCACGCTTAGTTACATGACGATCCAATTCGATTAAAGTCCTGGTGTCATCATCATCAACTTCACTTGGCCGACCTGAACGTACCTCATCTTTGAGCGAGAAATCTCCCGAACGGAATTTGACAAACCAACTTCGACAGCGGCTCTCTTTTGCTGTCTTATCAGCACACAAATTATGTGATTTTTTAGCAAATCTGCCCTGCATTTTGTTCTCACTCTACATAAAATTCCCCATTTTAAATGCTGTTTAAGCATGTATTGTATACAAGTATATACATACATACTATATATATATATAAATATGTATATAAATAAATGCAATTCTTGTGCATAATGAATCCATGCGGTCTCCGACATTTTGTCTATCACATAAATTTGCATATTATAAAACTAAATTGGACTGCATATCAAAAGGATATCGACCTCGTTTTGTTACGCCGATGCAAAACACACTTGGAAGGAAGGAAGGACTAAATTATAGTCCGCAACTTTGCAACGCTTTATGGTGGTGACTGCAGTCATGCGGCTTTGTTGGATGCGTTAAAAAATATATGTATGCGCAGAGGCATTTTGCATACAATAGAAAATATTAGATATGTGTACTAAGGATGCACTTCTCTTCGCAAAAAGGAATGCAACTTCACATGACACTGAATGAGTGAATTAGAAATTTTACATACTAATTGGACTTTCCCTGCACTCCGTCCTCGTCGTAACAGCTGTTTTTGCGACCTTTCCAAAATCCAAGAATTTCATTTGCAGCTGTACGTAGAGGTCTTAATATTCCGTAATACAGTCCCTTTATGCCAAGTTGCTGGTAACAGCGCTCTAAGAGAGCAGGAGTGCGATTCATAAAAAACCGCTCGGCAGTCTGTTAAAATTGCGGCTTCGCTACGTCGATCCTTCCTTGTGTTTGCTGACGACAGTTCTTTTCTACACAGAGGCGAGTGCATATTCTAGCTGCTGATATTGTCACTCTTGGCCTCAACAAGCGCGCCGTATATTCTGCTTTCTCCAGGCTTGATAAGGAAGCAAAGCGAATGGATCTGGTAGTGAATGAGGACAAGACGAAATATTTCCTGTCATCAAACATAAGCCATCGCATTCGCGACTCGTCCCCCACGTCATTGTTGACAGTCACAAGTTCAAGGTGGTAGATAATTTCCTCTATCTTGGAAGCAATCTCAACAACAACAGCAATGTAAGCTTTGATATCTAACACAGAACTACTCTTGCCAAAAGCTGCTGCTTTGGACAAAGTAGTTCATTTTAATTTAAAATCCTCTTTCAGCGAACGAAACCCGTCCTACTATATGTATGCCGCAGAGGCTTGGATGATGTCAACAGCTGTTCAGTCCGCTTTGGGTGTCTTCCAGAGAAAAGTTTTGTGAACGATTTATAGTCCTTTGCGCGTTGACAACGGCGAATATCACAAACGATGTAATGATGAGCTATACGAGCTATACGATGATATTGACACAGTTCAGCGAATCAAGAAGCAGCAGCTACGTTGGCTAGGTCATGTTGTACGAATGAATAAAAGTATTCGGTGTAGTACCCGCTGGTGGAAGCAGAGGAAGGGGAAGACATCCACTCCGTTGTAAGAATCAGGTGAAGAGTTATCTGGCTGCACTTGCTATTTGCAATTGGGGCCAAACAGCGAAAAGAAGAAAGGAAGGGAGCGCTAATATTAATCGCGTAAGCGCTGCCAACGCCACTAAAGAAGAAGGAAAGATAAACTCAAAGATCCACTTGAAGAAAATACGAAATAAGTTATATGAAGAAAAATATTTAATATCTAACTGGTATACAGTCAGCTGTGCTTTGTTGTTGTGTTCGTTTGGGTTACTATAACAAGAATTTTCACCACATGCAACTCATGACACTTCCTGAGTTAAAATGCGCGGCCAACAACTAAGCTACAGCGGTCAAAGAGTATTTTCGAAAGCAATCTCTTGTAGACACTCAATGGAGTGCTCTGTTAAGTTGTGTATCGTCCCTAGAACATTGCCATGTCGATCGGAGCATATTCATTGTTCGTATGAATTTTCGTTAGTTTAGGATTACCATTTCATCGATTATAAATTTCAAGGCAGTCAAGATGATTTTTCCATGCCAGGTTTTCAACATTCTTAAAGTGAATATCAATAATCTCAATGCTTTGTTGTGGCGTGTATCGTTCCATTTTTATTTCTAGCGTAGTTTTTAATTATCAAATGTCGAAAAAATTAGCTGCAAAAGTGACACCCTTTATTGGAAAACCCTTTATTCAAAGTATGACTTAAGTAATACAGAGAGTAACAAACAAAGTTTGTGCTACAAAAAATTAAAAAATTATTGATGGCGCAACAAATACATATGTATTTATATTAAAACCTCCGCCTTTGACAACAGTGACCCTATAAAGCTCTTAAAGAAAATGTGCAGCAAAATAATAACTTACCCAGATCGCCCCTCGGCAGAGAATGTCAACCCTTCCGAGTTTATTTCGGACATGAAGTAAAGCTCTTCATAAAAAAAATCTGTTGTTCAGACGTGGCTTAGTATAAATTGTGGGTTCCTCCAGTTGTTGGAAAAACGTCAAGACGCAAAACCACAAAATGAAGGAGGAGCTCGGCCGAAAAATCACTTCAGCGGTTACATATATATATATAAGTTTACTGTATTTGTTAGTTTATATAATTTAAAATTTAAGGCTATTTTTAGATTTCGCAAATAAATAAAAATATCTTTTTTTTTCTTCTTCAGTGTCAACTCATCTCTACGCCAGGTGCCAACAATAACAAGCGGAACAGAAATACACATGTACAATACATGCTTAAGTGCAGAAACAGCACACGCACACACTCACACACGATGAAGGCTGCAACTATAAAATATTAAATAAAGAATTTAAAAGTAAAGAAATAAATATTGTATATATCAATATATAACTATATATATACATATGTATATATAAATATACCACTTCAAACACATGTGCATATGTATGCGTCGATTGTTGCACATTTGTCGGACTTGTCGTAAAATAAAATATCAAAATTGACAAAAGCTGCAACAAAACAACAACAATAACAATTGCGAAACACCTTAAGCTGGACAACAGCACCAGCGGCAAGCAGGTAACGAGCAAAGTGAAAACGTAAAATGTATTGGAAACTATATGTAAAAGAGTTAATGTTTAACAAGGCGACACAATAACGGTAACACGTTTCAATTTGGCGAAACAAGCAGGCATACACGTACACACACGCACACACACATACATGGCAAAGCTAATGAACGGAAAGTGTTAAAAGGATATGAGAAGGCAAAGGCAAACAATTTAATTTGCTATGACACAAGCAGCAACAACAACAACAACAGCAACAGAAACAACAACAATATAAACAGAAGAAAGAGAAAACCAGTTATAAACAAAAGCCAAACCAATAGTAACCAACGAGAGACGCCGGATCAACTGCAACAATAACAACAACAACACAAATTTTGAAAAGCAAGAATGATGTGGAATCGCGCCAAATTAACTGAAGGAGCACACAATTCAAAACCTTAAAAACACACAAAAAAGTAAAAAATAAGAAAACAACAACAAAAACAATAAAAGAAGAAAAAATAAATAAAAGAATTGCGCTTAAATCATGAAAAACAGCAGCAACGCGCATAAAACGAACTCACACCTTGGACTGTGATGACCAGCAAACGGATGATATGGGAAAATTAATGACAATTTCTGTATATACTTAAATACATACATACATATATATGAGTTATTATAACTTAAATCGCCATACTGACGACTAGCCCAGAGAAACTAGCAGGATCTGAGCAATTTGTAAAGGCATTAAGCGGTTTTCAAAAACATACATATATATTTCCATAAGCTAATTAAACGACGAGAACGAACGCATTGTGTATTAATTTGTTTAGTGAACCGAGTACTATGCGAAAATTGTAAAAGCTTTAAAATCTTAGTAAATACAAAAAAAAAATTAAAAATAAAAAATTTAAAATTAAATGGAGATTATATACACATATATTTATATGTAAATAAAATTATTAATAAAATAATTTCAAATTATGCAATGTAAAATTTAAATCCTAATAATAATAGTAAAACTAATTACATTATAAACATTAATAAATTCCTATAAAAATATAAAACTTGCGTCAAAATATTAAAACACAAACGCGAAAAGAAATAAAAAATCTACAAAAAAGTGTAGATCTAAGTAAAAAGCGAACAAAACCACTAACTTTAACAACCAGAGCGCAAAGCGCTGTACAGAACTGCAAAGAAAGCCGAAAACACACTTCGACTACCCAAAAAAAGAATCTGCAACCAAAAGTAAACAAAGCAAAGTAAAAGCAAACCAAAGTAAGCGCAAAATACAAGTAAACATAAAATTGCCGAAAAAAGCCAAAAAGCAAAAATGAAATAAATAAATAAAATTATATATTATTCAAAAAGGAAATTAAGCTATTTACGCAGTAAGAAGCAAGTATTGTAGTATCGACGTAGCAAGACAGCGGATATTGTAAACTAATCAACGAAACCATTTCTACATATATTTATGAATTTTTTCACATTTCACAAGCCTTATTGAACTTTAAGCTTTAAGCTATCTTAGAAGCTCCAAATATAAAAGGAAACCCCCAAAAACAAAAAAATAAGAGAAAACGTTCGCTCGTAGCTTTTGGCTCAGCGGCTTTTGTATACGGCAGTTACTCGGCACCAAGTTTACACACACATTAGCTACTATATATATATATAGATACGTATATATAAATATAAACATAAATACATTTAACGGCAATTTCTGAAGGCGTGCTTTAAAGCAAAAATGGATGATATGCCAGATTTGTCACATCTAACGCCACATGAGCGCATGCAAATTGAGACTGTGCTGATGCGTCAGAAACAGGAAGAAGAGGCACACAATGAGATTATGCGGTAAGTATTGAAGTACTAAAGCATTGAATTACATATGTACGTCTTAACCAAATAGTTTTGTTTTTGTCATGTTCAAAAATTTGTCTTAAATAATGAAGAAGCTACGCAGTCAGAAAACAAGTAATTACTCGACTTTAGTTAAGATTTAAGGTTCTATGGAGACTTTAATATGTCATAATATCTTCCCTTAGGTAGAAGTGGCACTCACTTTACGGGAGTTGTCTTCGGTTACCAAATATTAAACTGCTTTTTACGGCATTTTAACTTATTGCATTCTATATTGCCAGAATACAGTTTCAGAGCGAACAGCCCTAGCTAGGGATCCATTCTTAAATATAATTTTTGCGATAAATTTTAATTACGATTACTCAAACTTCGTATTAAATATATCTGTTAACAGATAAAAAGTTCATATATTCATTGCAAGAGTTAAAAAATTTTGCATTGAGTACAAATTCATCAAGACCAAAGGTTCTTTACACGTGTAGAGAACATTAAATATTTCTCGCATTTCTAAATAAAAGTAATTTAAAGTTTTACAACTTTTCTGAGGTTTATTAAAATTAACTAATCCCTTCATACGATAATTCAATTTAATTATTTTCCAAAACCATTTCTTTTCTTTAAATTGTTAATTAATTTCAACATATGAAATTTCTTATTTTTTTAAACATATTTCAATTTGTTTTATTTTCTTTTATTTCATTTTATTTAATTTTAAAATTTTTTTTTATTATATTTTATTTATTTCTATTTATTTAAAATTATTTTTTTATTTTAATTTATTTGACTATATTTAATTTATTTTAACTTATTTTGTTTTTGTTTATTTTATTCTATTTGTTTTATTTCATTTCATTTGTTTGATTTAATTTTATATCATTTTAATTTTATGTGATATAAATTTTGTTGTATTTTATTTTAATTCATTTTATTGTAATTTATTATATTTTTATTTAATTCATTTTATTTATTAGTATTTATTTTATTTTAATTTTATTCATTTAATTTTAAATTACTTTGTTTTATATTAAATTATTTCGTTTTATTTTATTTTATATTATTTTATTTAATTTTATGTTATTTTATTTTATTTTATAATAATTTGACATAGTTTTGATTTATTTAATATTTTTATGGTTGGTATTTTTTACTTTAATTTCATTTTATTTTATTTTTTTATTAATGTAAATTTTATTTCATTTTACCTTATTTTATTTTAACTTATATTATTTAAATTAATTTAAGTTAGTATTATTTATTTTCTTTTATATTGGTTTATTTTATTTATATTTTATTAAATTATTTTATTTTTTTATTATATGTTATTTTATTGCCTTGCAATTTATTTCAATTACAATAATATATTTTTAATTTAGCTTACACTATTTTGTTGTATAGTATTATATTTTATTTTATTTTATGTTATCTAATTTGATTAATATTGTTTATTATTCAATTTTTAATTTGTAATTATATTTTAATTTTATTTTTTCGTATTTTTTTTTAACTTTTATTTTATTTTAATATATATTTCGTTTCATTTTAAAGTAATTCTTTTTATTTTAAGTTGCTTTTTTTATTAGGCGACCGTTATAGCGTACTGCGGCTTAGAATCAGCTGTGGATCCCTTTTTTTGTTAGAAACACATCAAGACGCATACCTTTAATTAGCAGAGAATCTCGGCCAAAAGTAGCTTCAACGTTAACAATTTTTATTAATTGATTTTTATTTATTAAAATTTATTTTTTCCGCGAACTTAGCTTTAATTTTGATTTGATTTACTTTTCATTTCTGTTTGTTTTATTTATTTTTTGAGATTCTTTTAATTTTCCCATGAGTTTCATAATTAAATTTTTTTCTACCGTATTATAAAAAGTAATTTTTAATTATGTAATTTGATTTTTACTCTTTTTTTGATTTGTAACGTTTAATTGCAGTCGCAAACAGGATGAGGTCGTCTCGCTGGAAATGCAAATTCGGCAACGATCAGAGGAACAGAAGAAATCCGGCATTGAGTTGGGCGCAATTTGTCATATCTGCCTTCAGACGAAATTCGCCGATGGAATCGGACACATTTGCCATTACTGCAATATCGTCTGCTGTGCGCGTTGCGGCGGAAAAGTGACACTTCGCAGCAATAAGGTAAGAACATACACGTATACATTAATTAATAGTTTGACATTAACAATGACTGACTGCCACTTTTGCGATAGCAACAACCGTTAAGAGTTAAAAGTTAAAAAGTATATATACAAACAATAACAATGTCTAATTAATACGCGCAAGTTCATGCACTGGAACACAATTATCTATTTACACACACCGCTATGAATTTGATGTAGAGATTGATTGTGTGTAGCTTGAGAATCGCACATTTTGACACAGCGAAAGGTTAATCAGTTTTAAAATGAAATCTGACAGCACAACTAAAACCCCATTACAGAACACATATGTGCACTTACTTTTCCAAGTACATTACTTGGACTGAGACCTTTAAAAAGTTGCACTCGTTATTGATTGCAGCAACAGTTTGCGGAAAACAAACAAATTCAATCATGTACATAAATAGACTGTCGAAATGAAAACAAAATGTTATTTAAGCACTAATTTTTTTAGTGCATAATTTTTGCATTTTTCCAGAGAAGTAGCCAAGCCTACACACTCGTTTTTTTTTTTTTTTTTTTTTTTTTTTTTTGTTTAAGATAATAATTTGCGTAGTAGAAAGTTTTCACACATCCGTTTATTAATTCGAGACTTCGTGGAATGCTTTGTTTCAAGTGCAGAGAAATCTCTCTTTTTCTAGGAAAACTTATTTAAAAAAAACTTTATTAGCATTTGTGTTCTTTAAGACCCTAGTTTCCTGAATAGTTCGATCCCTGATCTACTTCCCAAAAAGAAAAGTCATATTACTTATTAGAAAAAGGTCATACATGAGCCCAGTTTCAATTAATCGATTCATAAGTAAAACTTTTTCGAGGGACTCCTCGTTCACTTTCAAAACCTCCCTAACAACCACTGTAACAAACTGAAATAAACATCGAGTCAACAGATAAGTGATTTTTTAGATAACCGGATTTTTGCAAATGGGAATTATGATTTTTATATATAAGAAGAAGATAAACTGGCAAAGGGTTAATGAGAGTTAAAACAAAAGAATCGATATTACCTCTCATAAAAAGAATTAGTAATCTAAGTCTATTTTACATTATGCTTCGTAAGTAAAAGGCCACCTCCACTCAGAAGTGGTTTTCATCGCTAAGTCAAAGGCATCAAACAAAATCTTAGCATATTTTTATCGGTCAGCTGGCCTTAAGAAGACTTTTCATTGGCTGTAGAGTCAAATTTGACGCCAGTATTTATATTTATATAATCTATATATATAAATATATGAATATATGTATGTTTATATTATATATATATATATATAGAAATAGAAATATTTGCGTGAATTATATTATTGTACAAAGTCGCTGTCGAGCGATAATATCATTCGCACATTTGTGATTTGCTGCTTTTTTTGGTCTGTTTGTGAATGCTTTCTTTTCCAACTTTTCTTGACTCTTTGTCTTAATATTATATATATGATTGTAAGTGTGAGCACTTTTTCGACCTTGATTTTAACTAAATTTATGTTTTTGACACAACGCATGTGATTCCGCGATGTCTTGTGCAAATATATATAGGTCAGATGAGCGTGCTGAGCAAATTGGCTACAGATACTTGGCAAGCTTGCTTTGTGGGCAAATATATGTATGTGCGGGAATCTATTGCTGTTGTTGTCTGTGGCAATATATATTGAATTCAGGGCACTGTAGATGACGTTTGTATAGGGAAACTTTCTTTTTGGATCATTTCGATATTCCCATTAAAAGACTAACAAAGACACGAAGAGCCGAAGAGAAAGAAAATTTATATGTGATCGAAAAATTTAACTCTATAATTATCAGGTCTGTGCAAATATAATAAATAACTCAAAATTAACAATTAATAACTAAAGAAATTTTTTTAATCTGAAAGTAATTATAAAAGAATGTTTATTTTTTCACCTTATAATTGCATTACTTATACGCCATGTTGTCCCATTTACAATAGATGACTAAGTCATACATGGCGTATGAGTAACCATAAATATATTCAGAGTCTAAATCACCCCTTAGGACATTTGCATATGTGTATATGTATTTGAATGTTTGGCTTTTATAAATTTTTTTATTACTCAATGGGCATTTTAACGCCGTCATGGTTGCTGCGATTATGATTTCACGCCAATAACAGATATTTTTCAAATCTGGTTGAGATTTGTTGTTGCAAAAATAGACTTCATAATTCAATTGGAATGAAATGACGCATGTGTGCCAAAAAATATACCACGAGCAATAAATTTCAATGTTGTTGCAGATTCTTGTTATTAGTTTTCATTTATTTTTAATAAAATAAAATTCTAAATTTTTAGGCAAATTTTATTGCTACTCAATTTGATGGAATTAGATAAAATAAGAAATTGAGTAGATGAAAAATGAATGAATGTAGGGCTTTAGTGTCCAACTTTTAATTAATTTTTGTTTAATTTATTTATTGAAAAGTGTTTATATTGGATGAGTTTTTTGCTAAAGCGATATTTTGTTAACGTCAGAAGGAAAGCCCGCCAATAAGGGGGTGATTGCAATGTTGTGAAGAGAGAACGAAAATGTAATTTACCTTTGAGTTGGTTATTGTTTGTGTGTGGATAATTCACGCTCTTTACCCTTTGACAGACATTTAACCTATAACCTCATATCTGAGCAAATCGATTTAATGGGAGCTATATGATATAATTCTCCGATTCCAATGATTTTTGGTGATAACAACTTCATCATCTGCATTAGTAATCGTTTTCAAATTGTTTTTCAATTTTATGTTATCTACACTGATTTTAGCAAAGCATTTGACGAGCTCACTAATTTTTTACATAACCTTAATCTCGATAGTTTCGGGTTACTTCCACCCTTTCTTTTTCGTACTTGATTTGTAGAAAACAAAGAGTATTCTTTTATAATTGACATCATGTCAAATATCAGTAGCAGCTGGCGTTCTTCAAGGCAGTTGCATTGTCCCTTTCTTCCGCTTCTTTATTAGTGTTGGCGCCGCTTCTTTTCTTTTCCCTGTTTGGCGCCAATTGGAAATACCAAGTGAAGCCAGATCACTTTCCATATGGCCCTTCCAACGGATTGGAGTGCTTTTATCCATTCGGACGACATGACCTAGTCAGCGTAGCCGCTGTCGTTTCATTCGCTGAGCTATGTCAACGTCACCGTATAACTCGTACAGCTCATCATTCCATCCTCGGGGGTATTCGCCATTGCCAATGCGCAAAGGAACATAAATCCTTCGCAAAACTTTTCTCTCGAAGACTCCGAAAGGCGACTCATCTGCTGTTGACACACGCTGACCCCCTTTTTTATGGATTGGGCAGAGCCCACTTAAATTCCAATCGTCGAAGGAACTTGGGTGTACTTAAAACTCGGTGCAAAGCTGGCTCTTTGCATGCATTAAGATGTCAATAAGTCTTTGGAGGAGGATTAACGGCAAATCAATGAAAATCAGCAAATGTGTACTATGGTTCCAGTTTGTTTTAAGTTTGACGCTGCTGTTGTATATTCTATGATCTACTTAGGATCATGAGTAAAGTAAAATGCCTTACCTCTAACTATCTTGGACGCGCGATCATCTTTCAGTGGCTAAGCAAATTAAGCAATCAATAAAATAATAAGAATTTTAATATTTCCCACTCGTTGAAGCTTAATCCATTTATTACATATTAATTCAACAAAATACAATGAAACCACGACAACGTCCAAATAATATGAAACAAAGTTCTCCGCCGTGTCTGTCTGTCTCTTCGCATTAAACTAGAAAACTACTAAACGAATTCTCATGCGGTTTTCACCAATATGTAGAACCATTCTTGAGCAATGCTTACGCAGATAGTTTGCTAAGTTTTGTGTACATTTCGCTATATTAATTTGTTTAAAATCCACACTTGGTATGAAAAAAAATGGAAGACAAAAATACAAAAAGTTTCCTTGTAACCGCTGAAGGGAATTGCAACCGATTTGAATTACGACCATTATGTACAGACATTGACCTCTTATAAGCCTTTTATATATACGAGTATATATAATATGTTTTAGAAGATTCGCAGTTCTAATCACAAACTTAATATTTCTTGCCATTCTAGGTGATTTGGGTTTGCATACTCTGTCGCAAAAAGCAGGAACTGCTCTCAAAGACTGGACAATGGATGAATAAGGGTCAACAACAGGATAGTTTCTTACGACGCATTGAGCCCGACGGCAGTAGTGTAAGTTTAAGAATCTAAACAAAAAAATTATTTAAAATTTAATTTTATTTAATCTCCTTTAGGATATCTCGCAACAGGCCATCGTCGATCCACATGACACCCTCGATAAGCGTCCGAAACTGGAGCGCACACGCAGCGCTGCCGAAAAGGAAAATCTGCCAATGCAACGAACGGGTAGCGTCCTCCGCCGTCAGTATTCACAACAAGAGACGCCTACAAATCGACGTATGTCGACCACAGACAGCGGCGTAGATATTAGTCCAGGGCAACGAACAATGAACCAACAACATCAAGCGCAGCAGCTGCAACAATATGGTGCGCAAGGTGGCCAACAGCAGATGGGTGGTAGTGATGGTCAACAGCTATCTTATCCTGAAGATGATCCGCGTTATTATCAGGTAAACTCTTAAAGAGTTAGCTTCTTAAGTTTATGTTCGTTTAATGCTTAGACAAAGCGTGTATCGTCTAATCGACAGGGTGAACTGGACGGCTTGATGCGGCAACATCCGCACTTGGCTCATCCGAGTCAATTGCAGAAACAGCAGCAGCAGCAGCAGCCACAACATGGTTATCATCATCAACAGGCGCAACAGCAGCCGTTGCAAACACAGCAGCAGCCACATGCTCAGCAATATCAACAGCAGCAACAGCAGCAGCAGCAACACCCACAACAACAACAAAAACTGCAGCAATCATCACTGCAGCAACAACAGCAGCAGCAACAAACCCACTTGGGAGCGCAGCAGCGTGCGATGCCGCCACATCAGCAGGCGCAGCCGTTACGCCCACAAATGCAGCCGCATCAACAAATGTCAACACAACGAGCGACCGGTGGCATGTTGCAACAACATCAACAACAGCAGCATCAGCCGCAGCACCAGTCACAGCAGCAAAGGCTCCCTCATCAACATTCATATAATCCGCAAATGACCCAACTACCGACACCACCCATGGGCGGCAGCGCGGGTGCTTACCAAAAAGCCGGGCAATTGTCACGAAATCTCACCATAAGCGGTGGTCATGCTATGGATACTGCACACTATGCGCAACAACAACAACAGCAGCAGCATCAGCAGCAACAACAACGACGACCATTAGTGGGCACTCAGTACGGCCCGCCGCAACAACGATCATTTAGCAGCTCAGAGGAGGAAATCCAAGCTCATATGTTGGCGCCACACAGCGCTGCCGAATACGATTATGACGGTGAGTCAGCTCGTTTTGTCCAATTTGCTTTTGTTTCGTTCTCTATATCTCGCTCTCTATCTTTTTCTCAAAAAATACACTTTTCACTATTTTTGAAAATTTTTGTAATTTAATCATACAATTGCTCGCACTCACCTTTACTTGCGTATATTTAATTAGTATAAACCATGATTGCTTAACATTACCTGTTGAAAAAAAAAGATTGATATGATCTCAATAATCGTGCGACATACAAATATTTTCGCGAACTGAGTAATAAAATTGAAAAGATTTGGAATTTTTTTCAGTAATTTCAGATTTGATTCAGAGTTCTTTTAAACTCGTTAAGATATTCTCCATGCGCCTCATTGGTTTGTTGTCTCCTTCGTTGGGATCACACAACACCAAATACATACAGACAGACAATATTTTACACTCAAAAGAATATTCATACATATTTAGATTTTGATTCACAATTTGAAATATTTTAAGCTTATGACTTCATTCTGATATTAATTTTTAATAAACAAACATATCACGGTATAAGTGTATGATATTTAAAAAAACACATGGTATAAGCACAACTACTTAGGTATATATATATACATTAGTGCGATTATTAACACTTTAGAGCATTATGCATTTGAATAATTTTATAACTCTATATATAAGTCCTTAATTATATATACATCACTTATTAACGACATATGTAATCTTTGGACAGTATTGAATTTGAAAAAGTTTGATTTGGAATCGAACGCCCGCCAACAACGAATTAGTTTGTCTCTTAAAATTTATTAAATAAAAAAAATGAGATAATATGAAAAAAAAAACTAAATTAATACAAAAAATAAAAATAAATTGATAAAATTAAAATACATAAAAATAATATTGAAGAAAACAAATTTATATTAAAAAAAAATAAAATAAAATAAAATAAAATAAAATAAAATAAAATAAAATAAAATAAAATAAAATAAAATAAAATAAAATAAAATAAAATAATATAAAATGAACTAAAATGAATTGAAATGAATTAAAATGAAATAAAATAAAATAATATGAAATGAATTAAAATGAAATAAAATAAAATAAAAGCAAAGAAAATAAAATAAAAATAAAATGAAATACAATTAAATAATATTGAATAAAAAATTAAAATTTTTTTATTTATTAAATTAAAAAAAAATATATTAAATAAAACAAAATGGAACGAAATAAAATAAAATATAAGAAATATTATGAACTAATACATATAAAAAAAAATGAAAATAAATAAATTATATTAAGTAAAATAAAAAACATAACAAGTTAAAATAAGGTAAGCTGCTATAAAATTAAATAATGTAAATTAACATTAAATGAATATCAACTTAAAGGTAGGCAGTTTTCTAATACTTCGGTGTGGTCTCTGTTGTTCGATTGAGACATTCAAACCTCAAGCCGTACGAGCAGCTCAAACAATGTTCGAACAAAATCTTGTTGGTTTTCAAGGCTGACATTGTTGTTGGAGTTAATGCTGGTTTTTAGATAGACTAAATTATCTACAACCTCGATGTTATGACAGTCAACAGCGACGTGAGAGTCGCGTCGAGAATGCGATGACAGTTTGGTTATTGGCTGGAGAGAGTTGTATCCGATTCGTTCGCGAGCTTATTTTCAATTTGTTCATAAACTTTTTCTAGTTACGTCTAATTAAAATATAAAATTTATTATATTTATTTTACTAATTGCGAAAAGTATGTTTCACCCTCACAATGGGCTGTTTATGGGCCTTAACCATAGTCATTCTGATGAAAATACTTCTGGTAAGCCCTGGAGTTCCAATAACTGAATGAATGGCATGGAAAAGAGAACGTTGACTAAAATTCTATGAAAAAGCTATTAATGAAAATTAAGAATAAATATTAATGCATGTCTTTTTATATTATTTATGTACATACATACATACCAACATACAAATACGCATAAAAATTTTGGGACGTCGCTATAAGTAAAATTCTGTGTAAAAAAACTTACTAATTAATTAATAACATTTGAAAGTAGTGATTCACCCGCCAACAAGTCCGCTTTACTAGGTAATAGCTTGGTTGTCGAAATCGTAACGAATGTGGAGAAATTCAATAATGAAGGGAGATAGCAACAGTTGAAACTAAAAGGGAAAATTAAATCTGTGATGATATAAAACTTAACTGTAATAAACCCACCAAGTATAGGCAGTTGGATACCTGAATGATTGAACAGGGAAGTGGAATGCGATTTTTCGAAAAATGGAACTACATAAAACCTGGAAATATAACACGGTTATGCTCCTAATGGAGAATTTTCTATCACAATGGAATTTTTCCGGTGTAAATGCAGTTAACAGCACACCGAAGAGTGTAAAACAAAGCATAGTGAATAAGCGGGAACGAGAAGCAGCAATCGAAAAAAGTACGCAACATATTTTTGTCCCCGCTGAGGAGTTATAACCGACTCTGCTTTGTTGGTATTTGTATTGATGTTTTTATGGTTATATATTTCGTTGCGTTTCGTTGCCCTTACATACATACATACTTGCATACATATATGTTAGCTATTAGTGTCAATTGTTGTTGTTGTTAATTTTTTTCACTATACTGTCGCCATTGCCCTCTTTGTTGACCTGAAAACACAATTGGCAAGCAAATATAGTACAACTAAAACAAGAACCAAAAGAGTTCAAATGCAACTATGGCGAATGTAAAAAAATGGACACAACAACAAAACAGTTACAAAGCCACAAAGATGACTCTTCTGTCCTGGTTTTGGCGCAATTTTCAGCCACACAAATACAACACCCAAACAGACTTGTATGTATGTAAACCATACATACACTTCGTAGAGGAGGTTAGCAAAAAACTTGGAGAATTTTTTTTTTGGTGCACGAAGAAAGCAAAACAACAACATAAAGCAAATGTTACCAACAATAACAAAATCAACGACGGGCTCAACAACAAAAAAAGATTTTTATTGCATTTGCATATATATGCATATGTATGTATGTGGGTATGTCTATGTCAAAAATATTGTTTATGTATATTTTTGTTATCTGCATTATTAACTTTATTTCATACCCAGTCGCACAAGGCCCCTGGTTGCATGCAACTACAAAAAATAAACGCAAAGGCTACAGGAATATACTCTTTTCGTTCTTGAGCCTAATATTACAAATCAAACAACCACGTCGGCATCGCAATTCATCTCGCTTGTATTTTTTTAGAATCTTATCTATTTTATTTAACTCATATTCTTTTTAACTTAATATAATTTTATTTTATTTCCCTTTAATTATATTATTTCATTTGTATTTTCTTTTTTATTTAATTTTATTTTAATTTATTTTATTTTTTTTTTTTATTTTTTTTTTTTTTTTTTTTTTTTNTTTTATTTTATTTTATTTTATTTTATTTTATTTTATTTTATTTTATTTTATTTTATTTTATTTTATTTTATTTTATTTTATTTTATTTTATTTTATTTTATTTTATTTTATTTTATTTTATTTTATTTTATTTTATTTTATTTTATTTTATTTTATTTTATTTTATTTTATTTTATTTTATTTTATTTTATTTTATTTTATTTTATTTTATTTTATTTTATTTTATTTTATTTTATTTTATTTTATTTTATTTTATTTTATTTTATTTTATTTTATTTTATTTTATTTTATTTTATTTTATTTTATTTTATTTTATTTTATTTTATTTTATTTTATTTTATTTTATTTTATTTTATTTTATTTTATTTTATTTTATTTTATTTTATTTTATTTTATTTTATTTTATTTTATTTTATTTTATTTTATTTTATTTTATTTTATTTTATTTTATTTTATTTTATTTTATTTTATTTTATTTTATTTTATTTTATTTTATATTATTTTGTTGTATTTTATTTCAATTTATGATATTTATTTTATTGCATATTATTTACTTTAATTTAATTTTTTTAGTTAATATTACTTTATTTTTTCTTTATATCTTATTTTATTGCATCTCAAACTTTTCGCATGTCCTTCTTCAATTCTCTGGATACTAGCTTTCTTCTTTGTTATCGACGCCATCAATGCAGCAGTTTTCCATGTAACTTTTGCGAACGAAGCTCTCATATCCAACGTTGCCTATACGATTTATTACCCTAATTAGAGAGTGGCGGCTTAAATATGGAACATGAACTCGAACGTATACATACGTACGAACGCGTAAGTGATGGACTTGTTCGCCGGCAAGTAGAAACGGCATCCAAACTGGCGAGTAATTTTCTCTCGAAACTAGTTCGTTGTAAAACAAAGCTCTGACTTGGCACGTTTTGTTTTTGTCTGTCTCTAATGCATTTTATGGAAATCGGTTTAATTTATGCAACGCTACAATTTGATTCATACAGAAGTGAATATACTTATATACATTCATATATATATTTATATGTTGTGAAGAGATCTGCTTCTCTGCAATAATAAAACTTAATTCATAATTGTTTTTAGCACCGTTAAATATGATGATAGTTTAAATTGTCGTGCGTATGTATGTATGCGCATATGTATATGGAAAGTTTTTCAAACTTATCGATTTTATGCATCTGCTTCCGGTTTGATAAAATTTAACGTAAATTAGCGTTATTTCTGTTACCTGTCAAATTTCATTTTACGCTGCGGCAGCACAGTAGTGCTAATGTCAACTACAGTGGCTTAAAAATACGAAGACTCTGTCTATCGAAAATTCTAATGAGGGTTCGCCTTTAATGTGAATAGAGAGCAGATACTTCGAAGTAGATTAGCGGGTCCAACCGGCGCATTTCTCGCTTCTCCCAGCTACCAGAACCATATCGTAGCTTTGGTGTTTGTGATAAACGCCAGGGGCATTAATAATTCCAGGTTAGTCTTAAGTCTTGTGACCATAGAACTCTACATTTTTTTTCTTAATCACCAGACTTATCAAACAATAATGGAAGAGAAGAGGGAAAACGATGTATTAAAAGCATTTGATTTTGTGTTGAAATAA